TAATGCTAGGATATAGGCCACCATACTTAAAGAAGACAGAGAAGCCAGTTTTCATAGACCTTCAAAGATACTGGAGTTCCTACCTCCTTCAGACTATCTTTGAAATCATAGACATAAGTGACTTTTTTTTACTTCCATTATTTTTAATGTTCAATAATGAATAAAAGCAATTTTTCTCTGCTGCTTTTTTTGCTTTATTTTGTGTTACTGAAGCTTCCATTGACTGAAGTTACCAGCTAATTACATTGTGAAATGTAAGTCACTAACATGCTGCAATATAATATATATATATATTATATGCAAGAGATATTGAAAACTTTGAGGTTTATTTTTCTTAACTAATCAGGCGAGAAAAATAAGATTATTTTTATGTCACCTTGCATACATGAACTTTACTAGCATTCCTTTTCTGCTTTAATAGTTAGATTATATAAATGTATTTAACTAAAATGTTTCATTTTACCAGTATTTAAAAAGAGTGCATTTTTGTCTAATAACCACAGAAAGCATTAAGAAGGGAAAAACCCCTTTGTATAAATGTGGGAAAGGTTATATTTAATGTTTGGTGCTCATGCATATGCATTTCATTTTATGCTCAAGCAACAGCAGAAAGTTAAGTTGATGAAGAGCTAAGTAGTTTTAATTATGGTGAAGCAGTTCCATTTAATTATAAAGTCCTGTCTTACTTTCTTTATACGCACAAACCAACCACTGATTTTAAGAACCACAGAAAGACCCTCTTCTCTCCCCTCACTTTGCACCCCTCACACTGCTGAAAAGTAAAGATTAATTAAGCAAAGGCAACTTATTTAAGGCCATTGCTTTCTGAAGCAAAATTCTGAATGTGGATCTCATCATTTGGCCCCTAAATAATAAATTAACTGGTGCCAAAATGTCATCAACAAAAATTGGACTTAGAATGGTGGAAAACTCCAAACTTCTGGTGCAGCCTGCTAAAAGGGACTTTATTATTCAAAGATGAAATAAAGAAACATGCATTGTTTTGCTAAGAGGCTGCTGGGCTATCTACTAGATGTTTTTTATTTTGTTTTAAAGAGTAACAGCCATGAAAGTAGTACAAAGAATAGACTGCAGAGTGCAAGGCAAACTGAGTGCCAGCGTGTCAGAGACAGAGAGATACAACTTTTAATGTAGAGTGTATTTACCGCTAAATAGAATAGTGAGTGTTATTAACAGAGCATTGTTTAAAAATGTGTATTCATCCGACTGTTTTATATTTAATTCATATTTTGTTCTTGCTTTGTTAATTGCAATGCATTACTAAACAGATGACCCTGATCCTGTTTTTGTGTTTTTCTTAAAGCAAAAATAGTCACTCATTTAAAAGCAAACAATATCCTCATGTGATCACCTAGAATATCGAATACATTCTTGATTCTCCTCAGGGCAGAATACCAGACTTCCAGAGTTCTAACATCTAACTTCTTAGAGATAATGATGGAGAAATATGTCCTGTAATGAGAGAAGCCCCTAAAAGCCAAATTGCACTTCAGAATGTCAAACTACAAAATTACAGAATTAGTGCTACATTGCACACAGTTGCAAAGAAAATGTTTTGCTCTTAACTCTACACCACTGAAGTCAGTGGAGGTTTGCCATTGAGTTAGATCTGCTCAGCCAGCCTAAAAGCATCACCTAGCTAGATACCCCACTGGTGAAATGACTATAACTTTAGAGTGTTCACTCTCTTAATAAAAAGTATAAATCTTTCTGCAAAATAGTCAAATAATTGTGCAGCTCAAGGCATGATTCAAACTGAGTCATTGAAGTGTACAAAAGGATTAAATTGAACCTGCTGTTCAGATGGCATAAAGTCCAATGAGGTAGTAATTAATTAAATATAAACATGAATAAAAATAAGTGTAGTACATGCAGTAATATAATCATAAACCATCCTTAAAGGTACTAAGGCATTTCAGTGCTCAGTTTTATTATTCATTAGGTAAGACAGCGCCTAACTCTATAGCTCAAAGCAACTAATTAGTGCACACCCATCAAGAGAAATTTGTCTCTCTCTAAAGTGGCAGTAAAGTGACTTTGAGAATGTCAGTGGTACCTCCACAGTGGATTTAAACATAAGAAGAAAGTATGTGCCTCGGTACCAAAGCAGGTATCAAATTTAGGTAGCTAAATAGCTAAAGAGCCTTAATGCAAGTGTAGACATGCTAAGGCACATTGATGCTGTGTATGTCGACTGACTCTGGACTAACTTTAGTTCCAAGTTGGTCCTCACACCACATTAATGCACCTTAGCATGTGCACATGTAGACATGTGCCTAAATCGCCTTAATGCACATTAAGTTTAGGCACTTGTAAAAGCATGTGTAGACATGCCCAATTAGTCTCTAAATTGACACCCTGCCCTACCTGTTACCTTCAGACTAAGCTGGCTAACCACTTTTACTTAAAACAGTATATAAAGGGTCAGGAAAAATGGAAAAAGATAAATGTCCAAAAATAAAAGCTGAAGATGACAATCTTTAAAGTTTTTCTATTTTTAAGACAGAATGGCATTTTCTTGTCTTCAAATCTCTGTGGTGATTTCTTGCAGAACAAGTCACTCCTGGTTTGCCACATGAAAAATATTAAGAAATGACTGGCTGAGAGCTACATACAGGAAATAGCTGTGAACATTGAAAACTATGGCACAAAAGACCAGATACTTTTATGTTCAAAGACACTACAAAGAAAAAACCATGAGGTAATCATAGCGAGAATATACCACACATTTCCTTTGAAAATACAAATACAATTAAGGTCTGGAAAAAGATCTGGTGCTAATAGAACTAAAGTACAGTAGGGAGGGAAAATGCAAGCAATGAAGGGAACATTATATGCATCAGTAATAAATAGTACCCGCTGTGATCTTTGGCTATGGCATGTACTCATCTACCCACCTCGCCTCCAGAGGAAAAGTACTGGTAATACTGATCTATTGCAGTCCAGGGTGTTTCTATATTTTGGGAAAGTGGAGACATGTTAGCCCCAAAGAGAATTTTTCCACATAAGACTGAATCAAAATAGTATATGTACTTTGTTAACAGTAAGTGATCCTACTGCCAGCTTTTATTGGTGCTGTCTTTTTTCTAATAGTAAAAATAAGTATCAGTTGATATTCCTCATTTTAAAATGGCAATACCTTTAAATTATTTGAATGAACAAAACTAACACAGACAAGAAAATCATTTAAAATTATGTTCTAGTCCATGTCAGTTTACTTATTAATTGACTCATTAATTTAAAACATTATGTATACTGAGGTTGGACACTACACAGAAATTGGGAGGGGTTCAGTTTATTAGATTCCATATAAATGGTGCGGGTAGTCTCTGCCTTCAAAAGGCCCAGTTTATGATGGGGTAGTAACTATTTTTACATAGTGACTAACAAATAACGTGTATGCACCACTACAATCAAGGGAAGATCAACTTATGCAAGATATCTTACATCCTTTTCAATTACCTATTAACAAGTCCTCTCTCTTGAAGTTGACTCCCTGTAGACTGCTACAGAGCTGTTGAACTCACTGTTGAACCCTTGGACAATCCTTGGCACCTCCTCACCCCCCAGATTTCTTTTCCTCAGGAGACTTCTTAACTGCTCAGTGCTTTTTTTCACCTCTAGCCTCCCAGCTTTCCAAAACAGCTGTGTCACTTCAGTCTAGAGACTGGGATCATGTTGCTGTCTTGTAACTGTCCCAGACCTTTGGGTGGGAGTTTGGTTTGGGTATACCGGTCCTCCTACCAGTATCTAGAAATACCTTAGGTACCTGTCTAGAAGGTTTTGGTCATATAACTCATGTCAAACTGATTTTCAGATTTGGGATGAGACTGGCAAGAGCCATGGGGCTTTGGCCTTCTATCGTGATGCCAGCCTGGTTCACTTCCTAGGATCACCTGTACATATTTTGCCTAATAATTCCCTGCTATTGCAATGGCCAGGGCACTGACAGCACCCTTCTCTCTCCTAGCTCTTTTCTGTGTCCTAGTGTAGGTATTTTTTAAGTAGTGTTCTGGCTGCGGTATATGAGAGGAGCTAAGCAGACAATTTCATGGGGGACTGGACTCTGGAAGGCCCTTCCCATCCTATGTTCTGATGTGGTTGACTGCTATAACAGGGACCTGTACTTAGGACAGAAAGATAATTCATAAGGTCCCATTTTCAATATTAATCACATTCTTCATTTACCAATGACAAATATTGAGGCTGGAGTGTATTGTGTGCCAACTCTAACCAGCTCTTCTTTCCAGGGCAAACAGTAGAATTGAAGAGGATGAGTACTTGTATCATGGTATCTTGCACGTGTACCTGCCACATGCTGCATCCTGGCATGCATTTATGTTGGGTTTTTTTAATGCACTCCTATTGTGGTATAACAGCATCAGTGTAAGATTTTTTTGCCCTTTTTCTGATACACTCTCAGATTCACAGTGAAAATAAGGAACGTACTACCTGGCAGGAAGAGAGAGCTGTAGCAAAGGGAAAGAAGTCTGGGCGTCTAAAACTGAAGCACCAAATTCTTGGTTCCTGCTCTGCAAGAGTGGGTTTGTTATCTATTTATTTGGTTTTAATGCATGGACTCATCAAAACACTCATGAGAGCAGGTGCTGGAATGTGTTGTGTGATGAGACTGTGCAGCGTGCTAGAATGTAATTCCAGGTGTGACCAGCCCCGCAGGCTCCTGTAGAATTACGTACCCCCTGATGTACCCTGTTCTCCCCCTCAAGCTTGCCCAGTTCTCTCCCACAGCGACACAGTTCCCTGACACCCCCATGTGTCAGAAGAACGTTGTGTGTCTCGTATGTCCACGTTGCAGGGGTGTAGGTTGTAGCCGTGTTGGTCTAAGGACATAGGCAGACAAGGTTCCTTGGGTGAATTTGATATCTTTTATTAGACCAACCCTCCACGTGCATTCAGGAGGTCACTAGTATCCAAAGCTGGAAGTTAAA